TCTCCCATAAGAACTTCTTGTTACTGGACTTTTCTTTTCTTTCTATGATTATAAATAGCCTTCATTACATTTGCAAACCATATCTAGAGTTTGGAATCTTGCTCATGGCTGCAACGTGCTATTATTTAGTAATACTGCTACTAATATATGTGCTGGGAGACAAGAGAACATTTTGATAAATACTCATAAAATTTGCCAGATCGATGCATATTTACAGTATATATTTGCACAAAGCAATGCCATGAACATATGACTCACAAGTTCTGAAATCTGATACCGTTAGATAGATTGATGCTGGTAATTTATCATGTGCTGCTAGGAATAGGGAGATGAATTGCAAAACCCTTTACTGGCTTCTGGCATCCAGGCAGCAAATGCCTCTTGCCTTTTTCTCTTTGCCCTCAGATTCATCAGCATCTCTGTGAAGCAGGATTCAAGGATGAAGTCAACCTAAAACTTTTTCTCTAAAAAAAGGAACAGGAAGAGACTGGGAGGGCTTAGTTATGGACAGACCTAAATAGAAAACACTACAGGGATACAAACACAATTTATTTTCCTCTGAGGCTTTAAAAAACAGAACCTACACTTTTGCATGCTGCAAATCTTTCTTTCTCTTTGTCTTCCTTTGACCCCAATCCCCTACCATATGGGAACCAGAAATAATAAGTTTCTAATGGCCGAGGAGAAGCCGGCGCAGGGGCAGGGAACATGCCCTAGAACAACGGAAGTGATTTTAAAATTCTTGACTCCTTCAGACCTGCCAGCATCAGAAACTATAAATAGGAATGCCTGGCAAGAGGGAAAGATGGGACAGATCTTTCCACTTCTTCAGAATGCTCTTGAGCAGGAGGGAGAGAGCAGAAACATTTTAAATGTTTTGCACTAAACCTGCTTCGTTCCTTCACAGCAGAGCTGCTTGGCATTATGGGAGAGCAGTTATCTGGGCAGAACTCAGAGCTGAAAAATCTTGCTGCAGTGGCTGTTGTTGACCTGATGAAATTTTTAAAAATCCTTCATTGGGGGCAGGGTGGGGGACAGAGAGGGGAAGTAGACAAACTTTTATTTTTTTGGAGTATTTATCTATTGCTTGTCTGTTAGGGAATGAAATATGTCCCCCTCAAATTCATGTGTTGAAGCCCTAACCCCCAGTATGACTGTATTTGGAGATAGGGCCTTAGGGAGGTAATTAAGGTTAAATGAGCTTGCAAGAGTGGGGACCTAACACAGTAAGACTTGTGTCCTTATAAGAAGAGAAAGAGACCAGGCGCGGTGGCTCACGCCTGTAATCCCAGCACTTTGGGAGGCTGAGGTGGGTGGGTCACAAGATTAGGGGTTCAAGACCAGCCTAACCAACATGGTGAAACCCCATCTCTATTAAAAGTTCAAAAATTAGCTCGGTGTGGTGGCACATGCCTAAAATCCCAGCTACTCAGGAGGCTGAGGCAGGAGAATCATTTGAACTGGGGAGGTGGAGTTTGCAGTGAGCTGAGATCACTCCACTGTACTCACTCCAGCCTGGGTGACAGAGCAAGGCTCCGACTCAAACAAAACAAAACAAAAACTAGAGAGACACCATTAGTGTACATATACAGGAAAAAGGCCTGTGTAAGGAAAAAGGAGAGGGCAGCTGTCTGCAAGCCAGGAAGAGGTCCTTCACCAGAAGCCAACCCTTCTGGCACCTTGATCTTGGACTTGTCTTCAGAACTGTGAAAAAACAAACTTCTGTTGTTTAAACTGCTTGGTCTGTGATATTCTGTTATGGTAGTCCTAGCCAACGAATACAATGTCTTTTAACACTGAAAGGCAGATTGAAGTTCACTTGTGTATGTGACAAGGCATTGGACAACAGATTAAGGCCTAGGAGGTAGCCGAGTGGTTAAAAGAATTGGCTGCTGGAATAAGGTAGGCCTGGGTTCAAATCCCAGTTGATCACTGACGAGTAGTGTGACCTCCAACAAATTACTCTCTCTGTTTCCTCATCTGTAGGAGAGGAATAATAACAGCCTACACCTGCAAGACTGTTGTGAGGTCAAATGCTTTAATGTATGCAGAGCGTGTCATAGTTGCTGGCAAACAGCACCCTAAAAAATGTGAGCTCCGACAACGATGCTGAGCGCCTCATTTGTTTATAGTAGTTTCAGTTTACAAAGTACTTCCACGGCCATTATTTCATTTGATTTTTACAGCAATCTTATGAGATTAGTTGGAAAGAAAATCTTACACCCACTCGAGGGAGGAGGAAACCAGAATTCAGAGAGGAAAGGAACTTGTCCAAGCTCAAATTTCTAAGAAAAGTAGAGCCAGGCTTCAAATCAAGATCCCCTGACTCCAAGCTCAGTGCTTTCCTCACTAAATTTGCAGTCTCTCCGAATTCCTCCTTCCCTTATCCCCTCCCCTTCTTTGTCTTTTTTTTTTTTTCCCTCACCAAATGTGTATTGAGCTTCTGTCACATTCCAGGCATTTCCTCTTCTTTCCCTGGACCTGTGTATCTTTTCTCTTGTTTGTTTTGGCCTGGATGTTGTGCGTGTGTGCGTGTGTACGTGTGTGAGCCTGCCTGGGAGCATGTCTGTGTGCCCGCATTTGGGCATCGAGGGCTCTCATTCTCCCTAAGGTGACCTTGCCTTGTGTCTCCTCTTCTTACCTACCAGTGTTTTAGCTCAAAGACGGCATTTGGCTTTCAAGGACATATTATAAATAGAGCCTTAACAGCACTCTCTTTTCTTATCTGAAAACTGACATGAAGCACAGGCAACTAGGACAAAAAGAAAGAGAACAGGGTCCATGGTGGAGCAGATAATCAATATCTTTAAGTGATTTGAGAGCAGAAATTCCCAAAGGGGAGGTGAGAAGAGACCTGAAAATGACAGCCTGAGGAAGCTTGCCGGGCTCTCCTAGGGAGTGAGGAGGTGGGGGAATGTTTGAAAAAGCAGATTTCATATAGCAATTTTGTATTTAGAAAAATATCCTTGCAAAAGCTGTTATTCCCATAGTACAAACTACAGAAATTAAAGCTCTCCAGAATCTTTTTGACCCTTGCGGTTATATAAGAGTTACAGCAATTCCCAATGAAACAGGAGGTGGGCTCTGAATTGTGAGAGCTGAGATTTTTACCGTGTATTTTTGGCCATTAGGGACTTGAATATAAAAAGATGGAAAATGCTGTTTCGTGGAGTCTTCAGAAAAGAAGCAAGGCCTAAAAAGTCGCAAGGAATCAGTGCTTGAAAGGTTCCCATAGAGTTTGAAAAGGCCATAAAACCCAACTCTGTTTTGCAGATGAGGCAACTGAGGCACAGAGAGGTGTCACTGGCACAAGATCTACTGCTCATAACAGGATTGGCCAAGACCAGCACTGGTGTCAACCTGCAGTGGGGGACTATCCATAGAAAAGACCAGGGGCTCTTCAACAAGTCGTCCTCGACTCCTAAGAAAGAGAACTAAAATGTGCTTTAGGAGACTGGGACCAATCCCAGGGCATCAGCCCAATTAGCTGAAGGATGCTACTGGGAAGGCATTTGGAACACAAAAGCAGATACTCCTGCTGTTCTAGAGGGCTTCCTAAGGGCCAGGGTTCTTCAGGTCGGTCTTTCCAAGGATCTAAAGTAGTAGATTGGACAGCAAGGGATGTGGAGGGTCAACGAAGCAGCTCATGGTTTTCGGTGCGTATAAATAATGCCCCTCTAAGGGATAGGGTGTGTTTTGATTATTCTGCACAACAAATCACCCCAAACGTGTTGGTGAGCCTTGGACTTGCATTTTCCCAGATTCTGACCCACACCCTGACCTCAACCTGACCCTCAGCCTGAAGCTGACCCTGAACCTAATCCTTTCTCTGACCCTGACCCTGATTTTGAGCCTCCTGGTAAACCATAGCCTCAGCCTGCCATTTACCCTGACATAGAACATGACCTTGTCCTTCACCCTGTTTCCCACACTACCATGATTCTTAGCTATGCCCACCCAGACTCTGATCCTGACACAGACTCTGATTCTCACCCTCACACTGAATTTGTCTATAGGCAGACTTTAACTCTGAGGCTGACCCTACGCTCACCCTGAATTTGATCCTAATCTTGAACGTGACCCTCACCATGCCCCCAAACCTATGGCCCTCGCACTGACTCTGACTCTCACATTTACACTCTCAATCTAACCCCACCCTTCACCCTGATGCTGACATTGACCTTTATCCTGATGTTGACCCTGGACGTATACCTCACACTCCCTCTGAATCCGACCTTTATCCTCGCCCTGACACTCACAATTACTCAGATCCTGAACCTGACCTTCATCACAATCTTGACCCTGACCTTGACCTAGATACTCACGTGACTCTCTTCCTTACTGAACTCTGACCCTTAACCTGAACCTCACACTGATTCTTACCATGACCTGAGCTTGACCCTGAACGGGATGCTAAATAAGCTCCTGACCCTGAACTTGGCTCTCACCCTGATTTTACCTTCACCCTCACCCTCACCCTCACCATGACCTTTGTCCAACCCTTACCTTAATTTTTTCTTGAACCTTAATTTGAACCTGACACTCATCTAATCTTGACTCTGACCCTTACCCATAACCTACGAGACACAGTCTGACACTAACTTTCATTCTCACACTGATGTTGACTCATACTCTTACCCTCACTCATTCACAGTGACATTGAACCTGACTTTAAATCTGGCCCTGTCTCTGAACCTCACCGTAAACTTTATCCTTCACAAGATCCTGCTCCACACTCTCCCCATGACTGAGACACTGAATCTGCTGCTGTCTCTGAATCTCTCATCCTCACTCTTACCACAGCTCTAATACTTATTCTGATCCTTACCCTCACTCTGAATTTGTCCCTAACCCAAAAACTCCCTCTGACACTGAATTTCACCCTTATTCTGACCCTTGGACTATCCCACCCTTGTCATGACCCTGATGAAGCTGTAACCCTGATCTAGCCCTGACCCTCACCCTGATATGAATACTGATTCAATCCTGACCCTGACCCAGACCATCACCCTATCACACTGGTCTTAAATTCGTCCTCACCCTGAACCTGACCCAAATTCTGACCCTTATCCTTGTCCTGATCATGACTATGACCTTGAAAAGATCATGGCACTCAGAGTGACCATCAAATGGTTCTACCTCACCATTACCCTAACACTTTAGCTGGGCATGTTCATCAGGACCTTTACATTCACCTGACCCTACTCACCTTCAGTTTACTATGCACTACATGCTCAACCAAATCCTCATTCTAAACCTGACCCTGACCCTGACTTTTATTCTGATGCTCACCATAAAATTGGCCCTCATCTGGCCCTCCCTCTTGCTCTCATCTTGTGTCTATGACCCTGGCCCTAAAAGTATCTCTGACCCTGGTATCATGCGGACATTGGCTCTAACCACCCCACATCTCAAAAGTTACCCTAAACTTGAATTTCACCCTGTCCCTGGTCATGACCCTGACCAATAACTTGACCTTGACCTTGATCCTGACCATCAGCTTGACACTGACTCTCATCAAGACTCTGACGTTCACACTGACCATCAAACTGACTAGACTGACTCTGGCTTAAAAAAATTGTGGTAAAAGAAATATAACATAGAATTTACCATCTTAAACATTAAAAAAATATACAGTTCAATGGCACTAAGTATATTCACATTGTTGTGCAACCAATCTCCAGAAGTCTTTTCATCTTGCCGAACTGAAACTCTGTATAAGTTAAACAACAACTCCCTCTTTTCCCCTTTCCCAGCCCCTGGCAATTATAGTTTCTGTCTCTATAATTTTGCGTAACCTAAGTATATAGGTGGAATCATACAGTATTTGTCCTTTGGTGACTGGGTTATTTCGCCTAGCATAATAACCTTGAGATGCATCCATGTTGTAGCATGCATCAGAATTCCCTTCCTTTTTAAGGCTGAATAATATTCAGTATATACCACATTTTATTATCCATTCATCTGTCCATGGACACTTGGGTTGCTTC